GATTATGTACCGGTAGGCTTCTGGTCTCCGCCGGGGGCTTCCGCAGCCACGCAGGCGGTCAGGCGCCCGGCGACCGGCAGGGAATGGGAGCAACGCAGGATGCTCCGGGATATTTGAAGGCCACCGCTGGCCGCGCAGCCAATCAGCGTCGCCTGGCAAATTGCATCACAAGGTCGCCCCAGGCGTCTGGCTCGCCAACGCTGAGCCAGGAGTGCATGCTGGTATCACGTGTTGCGTGGCGGCACCGAGGGCATGGGAGAGGACGCGTCTCTTGTTATTGTGGGATGGGAGGGAACAATGCCCCCGTCCTAGCAACCGTCTGGGGGAAGAAAATATTTCATTTGCTTAAATTTTCCTAAATGTGCTTTGGGATTAATGGGCCGAATCTTGGTTACAGTAGGCTCTCTCACGTCAGTAATGTTACGTTGCATACAAATACTAGCACGGCACTACAAGGACATGCAGAAGAGCGTTCGGTGGTATTCCCTATGCTGTCCAAGCGTATTCAATATCTTCTGTGCCCTAGAGTTTAAGTCTGGATTAGGATGCAACTTGATTCTTACGTGCCTGGAAATATATGTATTTAGGACATGTTAGGAAAGAAATGAAAGCCCATTTTGCTTGGGGTGAACGCACATAGAAGCCCCAGGCGCATGTGCTGCGCCCCTCCACCTCCTTGCTAAATTAAGGCAGGTAGTACCGAACAGATCTGTGAACAGATGTTTTACGAAAGCTAAGAGTTTTCGTACGCCTGTACCGAGCTTCATTTGGTGTTGACGACGTTTTTAGTTGTGTCCCTTCCAATGTGAAATCCTACGGACGCCCTTGGATATTGCATCGCAGTGGGCTCCGACTGTAATTTCTCAGTCGCCCAGCTGCTAGCGTTATCTTGGTGTGCTCCTTCTAAAGACCCGTTGCCTCTTCAACATCACTTTCACCGCCGTATTTTTTAGAAGCCTTGGAAAGCAAAAAGACATGACCCCGCAATTTTACGCATGTTTTCTGTTCATTGCACATCTTGCAGCCTTTTGTAAATTCATATACCTTGTATGGTAACGTCATTATACAGTATTCACATTCAGTGTCTGGGCCGAGCTAGGCCGGAGGGGGGAATTAAATGTCATTTAATGTGTCCGGGTTTAGCAAAAACAAAAACAAAAACAAGAACAAACAAAAAAACGTAAACGACGTGGCGGAGCAACGCGCAATCCGTTTTGTACACCGTGTGCAAATTTTAAGTTCTTTGCAAATAAGTCCACTGCCCAAGGTCAGCCCTAGGTCAAAGTTCATAAATTGTAACCGCTTAGCTTTGCTTCTCGCAATCGTGACGCAAATAAGGATCAAGGCGGCAGCAATTTTCTTCGCGCATCGCTTTTGCTTGGATCGAATGGTTCACGTTCATGCTGCAGTGGCTTTTGACTGTCTAAACCGTCTGAGAACACCGGGTTGTGCTTGGACCGCACCATAAACGGTGCTTCTATGGATTTCGAAGGCGCATGCGACGTTCATGATTCTCAATCCGCATATACTTGCTCCCTTTGTTGACACTTTTAATAAGTTCATAAATAAAATTGCAACCGGACGTCTAGGCTATAGAGAAGCTTCGGGAAAATGCACAAAAATATCGCACTGCGAAGTTATGGACATTGAGCAATGAACACGCCTGCATAGGAAAGTGGGTACACACTTTTACCAAATATGTCCAATTGGTCTAAATGATTGTTTGCACTTTGCCGACAAGAAGCTGCCACACCGCGACTAAGTATTTCCGCCGGCATGGGAAAACAAACGCCCTCTCAGGTTGGGACGGGTAATGGCTCGTTTGTTTATTTTTTACCGTCGATGCCCGAAGGGCTGATATCGATTTATCAGAAAATTGTGTGTCCCAGCCCTTGCCCTCCTCCTCGATTCCTCGCCCCCTTGCCTTACGGTCGTGCAGTGCTAGGTACAGGGAAATTTTTTGAAGCAACGTTCATTTACGAGAACGCTGGTTTTAAGGGAATTTTTTCTCATTCATGTTGCTACTTAAGTGTCATTTTGAAGGATGCAAAAACTCGACGACCTGATCAAAAGCCGGATGCGTTGCCTCCGTGTGCTGCGAAAACTTGTCTTAGCCTCCAGCTGTTAAACGGCCAATAACGCAATCGAGTTCCATCTGCCGTTCAACTGATATTTGCTTGCCCAATGACAGCAACCAAATATTTGCTGCAGACTTGGGACACATGAGCCAGCCATAGCCAGATATTTAGGGACCAGTTATAAATTGCGTTTCGATTTTTCGAGCATTTTCGGTTCTTTTCTTCTTGTTACGCACTGGTCGAGCCAGGCGCACATTGTTCTCGCCCTGGTAACACCATGTTTAACGTGAAGTCCCAAAAATGCAGCATACATTTGGCCCCTTATTGGGCTAGTTGTGCGAAACAAAAAGGGCTCGCACTTGTCATGAAAATGAGTCCACGGTACGCGGCTTCAATTTTTTATTTTTAAAGATCTTAGGATAATTTGCAGGTATGGCTTGGCGTAACGCTATGTTGTCAAACAAAGCGAAGACTCAGGATTTTTGGAGATCGACTTCGAAAAAATCTAAAACAAGATGTGGGGCTCCAGTTTTGACAGCTGTTTGACCTATCTGGCCTATCTATCAGAGAGCTGTCAGAACCAAATTTGAGTTTTTCTGGCGATTTTGGTGGCTGTCTAAGTGCAGGCAGTCTGATCAGGCGGCGTGTTTTTGTAACATTGTAATATAATTACGATTTTACCTCATTATTTGATTTATGTTGGAAACGTAGAATTGCCAAATCACGAAAGGTCTGAACAACACGGGGCCGAAACAGCCTTAGGCATTGGGGACGAGCCTCCACAGCGTCGTGATGCTAAATGATGCATAATACTAGCGGGGGAGGAAACCAACAATCGCACAAGTACACCTGTGGGTCTATGTACGCATATCATCCTCGGAACCATGGACCTAGCCGTTTTTGGTGTTTTTTTAGTCCACGTCAAAAGAGCGCTTTTCGCGTTTGCCCTATGATGGGGGGCCTCGGAAGCCCCCCCCCCAAACCTTAAAAACTAAGCAAATTAGAGAGACGGAGATAATAAGTTGGAAATGTCTCGTCAAACTGCATTCAGTAGGCGTGCCTAAATAACGTTGAATGTGGCCTTGAGCATGTCAAGCCAAGTTATACAGGTCAAATTAGTTTTATAGCCATCCCCTACTATGCCAAGAACAGAGCATGCTACGACATTGAAGAAAACAGTTTTCAATAACTTTTGTAAAACGACATGAGATAAAGTGTAGTGAACATCAATAGGTTTGCTCTGTGATGTGTCATGCCAAGTCAAATAGGTCAAGGATATTTTTAATGAGGTGTGTTTCGCGACATTAGGAACTACACAAGCCACACCAATGAGGAAAACGACGCTAGAAAGACCTTCCACAGCTGTAAGATGTGTGTCATCAAGACGCGAATGATATCAACTTCAAGAGATCAAACCTGGTGGCAAAAGACAGAGTTTGACCTAGTTTGGCCTTGAATGACTTGACCTTGCAAAAGCAGAAAGAGTGATGGCAAGGTACTTCGCAATGATAATGTTAAGGCCAGTAAAAACATATTTTTTACTGCGTTTTCTGTGAAAAATTAGTGCTACATATCAAGACTGGTCAGCATGTCATCGAGATGACCTCAAGAAAGGGGTGAAGGGTCATAATTGTCGAGCCCAAAAGCCTCCAGTTTTCATGGCGTATGTACAATGGTGTAAAATCAGCGAACCAAATTGCAATGAAGTGTTCAAAATCGTTCGGAAGTCACTGCAGAAACATCTTGGTGGGGGCTCTCAGGCTCCCTTCTTAGGGTGGAGGTTAACTCATGCAATATATTGGTGACCGGGGCAGATGCATAGGAAAACGTATTGTACTCTGCAGTCCAACGTATCATTTTTAAATCACCAAGTCGTCTTGATATCATTGGCCCATGAGAGCGCAGTTGACACCGGGAGGCAGTCAATGTTATCACAATATAATTGAAACAATGTCATCAATAACCAAGGGAGCTGCAGATTGACCAAAAGAGAACAGTGCAGACGTTAACATGAAAAACTTAACTCCGGTGGCACAAACAAGCTCGTTTTCGCAATCGCACGTTATGCTGTTGGAACGTTTGGGGCGCTGTCGTGGCCTGTTCCGTTAGATCTTGTCTTCCGTGCCTTCGCACCTGGGCAGGGGTCGGTTTTTGCACTCGTTCACGGGTTTGTCTTACATACAAGCGGCGCAAACCCGTGGACATTGCGCTGTAAAATGATACACGTGCTTTTTTAATGCCGGAAACATGTGTTCCATGTATTTTGGGAGAGAACAAACTATACGTGTTTCACATATGGCATGTGGGGCAATATTGAAATGTGCACAGCTCTAGCACGGCATCGCATCAACCTTCATGACAGGACGTTGTCTGGCTTCATGGCAGGACGTCTTCTGGTACCATGACAGGACGTCGCCTGGTACCATGATTGGTGATAAAAGCTATACCTTAAACAGCATGTCACTTAATTTGATATTGCGCCGATCAACCTTGCACCCTCCAAAGTTAATACCCTGTCTCTAAAGATTCTTGGGTCGATTCCTGTGCGTTTTAGCATGCAATTGCCATACGACAACACATCTTCATCGTCGTTATGCTTGCAAGCATAGCAGCAAGAATGTTGCATCGCCCGATTCCTGGTTCAGTGGGTATGTTAGAGCGCACCTCGTCTCGTTGTGAAGCTGAGTTTGTAACAAACTGCAGTCGAGCTAGAGGGCGCACCCGTCAGCATCCGGTTAAAGCACAAGCTTATTTTAAAGAGAGCAACTCTACTCCATTTTAAGATCGTGGCTAGATATCCTGTGTCATACGCTAAGTGTGCATTCTGAATGACGACTGTAACAATACATTGTCAACATGAAACTGACATTTATGCCGAAGTTCAGGTTTGGACATGCGTGGAGCAAGCAAAACAACAGGAAAAACAGTCCGTCAGCTTTATAACCACCGTGATATTCGGGTCATTTCAGACGTCTGGTTCCTGATTTTCGAGACTAAAGAAAGCTTAATTAAAATCGCACTGCACAACATCAGCGACAGAATGACCACCGAAAGCCAATGAAGCGTGGAAGACAAGAGGTTGCTGGAGACCGTCAGGCCGCTGGAGACCGACGTGCCGTGAAGAAGAGCCTGAAGTTCCCAGGCTGACTCTCTGCATCGAATCCATCAACCGTGTGATCGTGGTCATAGCACGCACGTCTCGAATGACGAGGGACAATAAGCCCCCTCCTTTCCACATGTCAGCGCAGCACCGCACTCTTGTCACCCAGACTGCCCAGTCTGCGACCTCAGCACTCAGAACCCTCCAAATCTGGGCTCAATAAGAACCCCACTGTTACCACTACTGGTGCCTTTGAAATTCAAATTGCACACATCTTCCCGGTCCAAATCCCGGTGGATGGTTCTACTCGACTCCTTGGTGGGCCTCGACGTTGTGTCTCTGCCGTTCAAGGACCGCAGTGTCCTCTCAGCACCCTCACATCCACGACACAGCAGCCAGGCTCTTTCCATCCCCTTCCTCCCTCTGACAAGACCGACCGCCTGTCGCTCGCGTCCGCCCAGGGCACCGCCCCACCACCCCCTCAGGCCACGTTCGTCGGGTGCAGAGCGTCCGGGAAGAGCATGCGGGAGATGTTGGCCTTCTTATGCTGTTGTGAGATGGGCGCGCCGCCGCCGGGGCGACCCCAGAAATTGGCGAAGCTCTCCAGATGCTGCACCGTCTCCAGAGTGTACTGCTCTTCGGCACGCTGTAACAAAGAGATGCAGGGGATCAGGGACTCCTGTATCGTCTCCAGACCTTTCGCTTCGACCCCCGACCTCCGAAAATGCTGTAACAGAGGGGCGTGCTGCGCGCGCTGATTTGATCACTGCAGTGGGCAGAGCTTCATCAGGATTCGGGCGACGACGCACGTCACGCACGATGTAAAGACACATTTCGCTTCCTTGACCAGCCTGTCTCACTGACGATATGTCGGACGTTTTCCCCACAGCTTCATTGCCAGTGGACATTCCTGGCGAGCCGCTGCAAACTAGTCAGTCTAAAGACCGGGGTTGCACGATTCACATTGGTCATCGGTTCTACGCGTCGATTTCATCGTAAGCACCATTTCCTGAAAATCCTTCTGAATAGCTCAAACTTTATGACTGAAATAGTCGTTCCGGCTGGAGAAATCTCAGTGGACGCGCTGCTATTCTCTATGGAGGTAATACTTCTCCCGTGCTTTACTTTTTCCAACGCGTGTGTGTTCTGTAATGTTTGTAATACACCAATTGCCTGAAATGTGTGAGCCATAATGCTTTTCTACGAAACGCTACGAATGCTCGTAACACTATGTTTAGGGGAAAACATGTACAAATATGAGGCCATTATCAAGCAAAGTTAACAGACGTCATACCTCTGTTTTGATGTTAAGCCATAAGACGTTCAGCATCGAGGTGCATTTGAATTGCACTTTGGTTTACGGAAACCGACGGATCACATGGTCTTTGGTGACGGACTGGCTTAAACTTCAACCAATGCGCTTCTTGTTAAGTGGTATTTCCGCCCCCTATGCCAATCACAATCGTTCCTTTCAATAGTCATCCATACCAGTTGAGGTGCTATTTTAAGCACGCTGGCCCGCAACGTGTCGGTTAGTGGTAAAAGTGGTGAAAAAGTGATTAGCTAAAAAGTGGTGTCACTTGTCCGAAACAGCTGACGACGGCCCTCAGCAGATTGTGCGGTCTTCAGTTGTTGCGGCCCTGGGCTACATTCTGGGGCTATGAAGAACGAAAAAAGTGTAGTGCTGTGGCGTAACGTTGAAAGCGTTGGTTGGATTCGAAAATAATCAAACGTAACACTGTTAGTGACATCGACTCTTCCTCCTCCCCATATCAGGACGAGTGTTTAGTGACATTAAAAGATTGCTTGCTGCTTACTGGGCTACACGCTGGTTTTCGCTTCCGTAAAAAGTGTGTACGTGCATAGTGGTGGAACGAAAAAAGTGTAGTGCTGTGGCGCAACGTTGAAAACTTTAGTTGGATTCGAAAATAACCACATATAGCACTGTTGGTGACATAGACTCTACCTCCTCCTCATATCAGGACGATTGTTTAGTAGCATTAAAATATTGCTTGCCGCTCACTGGGCTACACGCTGGTTTTCGTTTCAGTATCAAATAGTGTGTAAGTGCACTGTGGTGGCATTTCCGCGCATACAAAGATAGTCCAGCCTAACGGGCTTATCTCCCGCTGAAATGCTGCTTGAAAGCTGACACTGCCACTTGGCTCAGCATTCCTTTCAAGACTCCCACTTGCTGCAGAGCATCTCGGCAGTGCTGCATTCAAACTGCATGTTTGACATAGTTACACAGAGGCAAGACATCGCGGCCGGATTAGAAATGGCTACATCCCTATCTGCTGCAATGTTGTGTATATAAGTTGCATGCAATTCTGTTTTTGACAAATCTATATATTCTGGGCATTACAGTTTGGCGTACAAATGCTTCAAAACATTACTAAAATCGTTTTTGTAAAAGCCATCGTCCGACACTTCTAGGAGTGGGACAGACCTCTCAAACCCCCTCAAGTTCTGGCGTTCTGGTCGGCGACTGGCCAGCTCGAAGATCAGCATGTTACAAATGGGCTACGTTCTAGAGCCGTTATACTCACACCAGACTCCCAAGAAGGGTGTTTACAGCGGGTCGTTTAGTGGCCCGAGTGCGCCGTGCCAGAATGGTAGGTCACGCCACACAGGTTGTACTTGTAGCCTCCCAGTACGGCAGAATATGGCGACGGATTGTCTCTGTACTGATCCTGTTGTAACGAGAACCGTTTCGGGTGCGCTGATAGCATGCATGCGAGTCTATTCTTGTCAAGGACCGTTTTCTCGGTGAGAAGGTTGAAGCAGTCCTGCATCGCATCTGGCCGGTTATGGACGGGATCGGCAGGCTCAGGTCCCAGAGCAGGTCGAACGTCACGGACGTCAAGCCACAACGTCTTTTATTAATGTCGGTGGTAAAAGACTCGGCTTGGCTGTTGACGTAGTTCGCGTCTTCGTACAAGCCCTCCAGCACGTATCTGAGGAAGTCCTGCGCCTCCTGCTGCTGCTAGCTTCCGAATCGGGCCGCCGAGCTCCGGCTCTATGTCTTCAATGGGGAGAGGGTCAGCGCCCGGTCAACCTCCTCTGAGCTCTGCTGTAGGCCTCGCATGAGCCTGGCAAGTGCTCTGAGAGCACCCTTCATGGCTGAGGTGGTGGTGTTTATGTTTATCGAGTACTCGTCTCGTGGGATGAAATCCTGCTGGACGCGAGTGTTGCTCAAACATTGCCGGGCCGCATTCATGACGCATGCATTACGGATGCTCCGGAGTCCCGTAAAGCCGAGCAGCCGTGTCGCGGGCCGCGCCCTACCGCCATCTTCGCTCGCGCTTATGATGCTAGGACAGCTCGACGGGGAGGCGGCCGGTCAGAGCTGCTCCCCATTCGACTGTCCAGTACGCGCCCGCTCGGATTGTTCCTCCCCATTCCACTCGTTCCGGATGCTGCCCCAGCTGCTCAGTGGGCTTCCTCAGCTCGGCCTGCAGCTCCGGAAGGCAACGCCCTGAGCCTGGCTTCACCGGGCTGTCATGCAGACCTGGGAGGAGGTGACAGGTGATGGGCCTCGTCAAAGAGTGTGAAGAAAGCTTACACCCAGGTGGTGAAGAGTTAGACGTTCCATTAAGCGGCCTAATGGCCTAATTGGCTGTATTCGGAGGCGATGTTCGGTTCACCACAGTCTGTCGTTGGGCGCAGGCCAGTGATGTGCGCTGACTGGCACGGTGTGGAGACTGGTTGTAACGAGCACGGAGGCAGCATTACCACGGATGGCGGCGTTTGATAGACGCTGCCAGAGTCAGCCGGCCTCAAGTTGGGATAGAGATGTGTTGAAACGCCGCACCCCACCTCCCTAATGGAAGCCTTGGTGGATCGCAGACAACCCCCGTCTCAACAGCGGCAGGTTCGGACTGAAATCGATCTGCGAGATCGGCGCACCTTAGCCTTTGTGTGAGGAAGCGTTTTTTCTGTCATTCAAGAAAATTATGACAGCTCCTTGAAGAAAATAAACAGGGAAGAAAGTCTGGGTAGAGTTGCAAATGTGTCTACATTGCATGCACAGGTCACTGTCGAAGTGAAGTACTTAAGAATATATCACTATCCCTGTCCTTTTTAAAACTCCATGTTAAATAACACTGCATGACCACCAAGTTGAGAACAAGCGCCGCAAAAAAGTTTCCACGCGAGCATATCGTCTACGACGGAAAATGCGCTTCACACAACCAAACATGAGTGTACATCTACCACGAGATCAGAAATAATTCAATGGTTTCATACGAATGCATTGAAACAAAGCTCCCGGTTGCCAAACACTAGCCTCGCCCGAATCTATCACGCACGCATAAGCCAACACAAAAGTGGCCATGTCAGCGGTACAAAACAGCAGCACCAAACCGCGCACACGAAGAGGAAATCTGAACTACACGAGAGGCATGCAACCAGCAGTCAGGAGAAGCGGAACGTAGGTGTGCTCCGATAAGGAACGATATAACCAATAAATGATGTTGACCAATTCACACCACTTACTTTCACATCACGCGAGAAGGATCACCCCAACGCAACATAGTTTCCAACTCCCCGCATGGATCACAATCGTTTCGGTTTCTCTAACCGGCCTGTGCTGCATGCAGGCGTCTGTCGCGTCCGCCGGGACCGCGGTTCATCAGCGGGCGGGCTGATTGGCGGCCTGCGGCGCTGACTGCGCGGCTGGCGCGCCGGACGGTGCCGGGCGCCGCGAGCCCCGCGGAGGTGCTCAAGGTCAACTGAGTCAGCGCCCCGGGCCACAGGGCGGTGTCGGGGATCCGGGGTGTTGTGCTCTGTTGTGCGGAATGTAACCCATTCACTGTTCGTAGCCAACAGAGCACCTCCGTCGCCGCCATTCCACGGAGACCGTCCTGCTCTCCGTGGTCAAACGCATCTTTTCCAACACAGACGGTGGCCGTCTTTCATTCTCATGGCGTTTGTATCTCAGTACATGTTTTGACGTAATTGCTACTTCTCAACTTATGTCCAGCCACCAGCTCTGCACAATTAGCCCGGCTTGGTTTTCCTATAATCTTTATAATTCCCAGCCAAACAGCCTTTCTTCTCCTGGTTATACGGGGGTCCCCAAGCCCCTTCCCAGTACCATGGGAGTCTTCTAGACAAAACCTTTCGTTCCTTTTTTATTCAGTCTTCATCAGCGACCTCAGCCTGCACGCGCCAGACGCTCATGTGAACCAATGCGCTGACGACTTCAATTCATTGCATCCGATGTCAAACGCAGCCTTGCTTCCCTCATCCAACACCTGCAAACCACCCTGGCCTCCCTACCATCATGATTCCATACCCACGGCCTCAAGCTCAACGCATCCAAAACCGGATTGTTCCTTGGCAGAGCACCCGCGGACTTTCCCTGCCCGCGTGAGGGTCGGTGAGGAGATGGTGCAGCGCAGCCAGACTGCACGAAACTTACGCGTGCTACTCGGCCGTCTTCTCAGCTAGGACGCGTGCGTCAGTGATACAGGTCAAAGCGTGTCGGCGTCCTGACCGGGCCCCGCCACCTGAGACATTTCCTCCCACAAGGAGTGCTGCTCGCCATCGTGCAGGGTCTAGTCACCTCGCGCATTAAGATACTGCATTTCAATGTGCGGCCAGGGGTCGGCTGTTAACGACAACAGCCTGTTGAACGTGGTG